TATTGCAATATCTAACATCTTTTAAGTGAGTTTCAAGAAAATTGTAATGAGAATTTAATCCTGTCATTTAATGTATTAGATGACGTAGGTTTAAAATCTTATTGTAATTTTCATAAAAAAATCATTTCTCAAAGACACCGGTTGAAGCGGTTCAAATGACGAAGTACAAGATTTCTTAATTTTCTTAAAAAATTAAGTATCCTACTTATCTTATTACTACGATCAAACAATGATACGTGTAATCTCTCTCTCTCTCTCTCTCTCTCTCTCTCTCTCTCTCTCTCTCTCTCTCTCTCTCTCCCTCCACTTACATTAATCTAGTGAGTAGAACAAAAGGTAGGAGAATATTTGATTTCTCATATATTATCTAGTAGGTTTTATTAAACGTTTAATATAATGCAAGGGATGTACTAAAAATCAAAGTCGTTGACAATATGACATGAGTTTGGTATATACTACAAATCAAAGTTGATGGCACGGCTTTGATTTGGCAAGCTAAGTTCTTATTTGTAATTTTTTTTATTGTTATCACTGCTTGACTTTGTAAAACTATATTTTTCACCCTTCTATTTTTTAAAATGTCCGACTTTAAACTTTGTAAAATGTCACTTTCACCCCATCTATTTTCTAAATTTTCATATTTAATCAACGTAGTGATTTTTCTTTGGTTAAAACTCCTGAACTTTGTAAAATGTAACTTCCCCCCCCCCCCCCTCGACTTTGAACTGTTTAAACTTTTGTGTTTACCCTCATCCACCGACAGTTACCACCTCTAAACTTTGTAAAATGTCACTTGATTCCCTCAACTTTGAAGTTTTGTAAAATGTCACTTTGACCCATCCTTAGTTTCTAAATTGACATGTTTACTCCTTGGTTTTTTCATTAATAACTTTCGTTCTTTAACTTAAAGAAAAAAAAAACTAAATTTTTACATGTTTATATTTTTTACAACAAGATCAAGGTTACTGACAAAGAAAACCTTGAGGCAAAGGTGAAGAAGTGTGTCCTTATTGGATAGGAACCGGATGCCATGAGATATCTTTTATAGGATGATCAAAGTAGATAGCTTATCAGAAGTCGGGGTGTGACATCCAATGGGAACACTCTTCATAAACACAATCCTGGATCATATCTTGGGGGAAGAAGAAACCTCATAGGAAAGATTATGTTGTGTTTAAGTGGGTTATAGAAAATAACATTAAAAAACCTAACATAGCTTTCGAGATAGGTGAAAGTTCAGGAAGTAATGGGAGTACAGTTGAATTTTGGGAGTTTGGAGGTAGTGAGAGTTCAAAAAGTGAAGCTACATATGAGTGTTAGGGATTGGCGTTTAGGATACTACCTCATTGTTGGAGGGATTAATGTTTAAGAGACTGCCTCAATGTTTGAAGATGTATTATCAACGTAGATAATCTTAATGGTTGATCCACAAATAGTAGGAGACATGAGATGATAGACTTAAAAGTGATCAAACTCTTCCCTTGGTCCTTATCTTGGTTAAACTTGATGCAGAGAGGGAGACAATTAACGGCTAAGGTTTGCTCCAAATGGAGCTCTTAGGGTTTGGGCAGTTTCTTGTCTTGACTGATAAATAACCTATCAAGCCCCCATTTATTTATGACAATCCTAAGCTTTTCTCAAAAAGCTTACCATGTCATTAAATAATCCCAAAACCTATTTATTCTTAACTCTTAATAATTAAACCAAGTAATAATCCCTAGTTTTTTACTTTCTTGTATGTTTTGTCCCGCCTAGCATTTTGCTAAGTTTGGGTCTCTTTTTTATATATA